GTGGAATGGAGAGGTAAGACACTTGTGAGACACAGATAAAATTTATTATCTGTTGACAAAGGATTTGTATGGTGGTCTCAACTGGGCTGGACTGAGGTGTATATCATGCTGTGTAAAGTCTCTTCACAATCTAAATGATGGATAGATTTTTAATGTATGAATAATAATTTTAAAAATTTTAAAAAATAAAAGGTTAAAAAAAAAGAAAGAAATTGAGAGAAAGAAAGAAATCACCATTCACTAGAGTATAATCATGACGTAACCATTCTATTCCATTTCTCCATTCTATCAGGACTTTGGCTGCACATGGATGTGCATACACACACACACACACACACACACACACACACAACATTTTTCAAGTCACCAGGGTCAAATGATAGTCAACCATGAATTGTTGGAGCTGGCAGGTGGCATGGTGGTTAAGGGTGTTGGACTCCCACATGGCCCACCACGATTCGAGTCCTGGACCTGGTGGCTTGCTTTCTCACATTCTCTCTCTCACACACACTCTATCCCTCTCTGGTCAAATTAAAATAAATAAATAAATAAATAAATAAATAAATAAATAAATAAATAAAGTTAACAAAATAATTCTTTTTAAAAAACAAAAAATATGAGGCCAAGGCTATGAGGCCGGCTTGGTATATATTATTCATTATAAAAACACAACAAACAGGGGCCGACAGGTCGTGAGGTGGTTAAGGGCACTGGATTCCCACATGGCCAACCATAGTTAGAGTCTTGGACCTAACAGCTTGCTTTCTCACTGTTTCTGTCTCTCTCTCTATGTCCCTCTCTGGTTAAATTAAAGAAATAAGTAAATAAATGGAGTTAAATAAAATGATTATAAAAAAGCTTAAATTCCACTGGATTTTTTTCTCTTAACACTGAATAGTGCATGGAGACTAAGAAATATGCTCCTGCTTATTTTCCACTCTTTTTAAGCCTTTCAGTCTATTCCTGGAAATTATGATCCAAGAAATGAAGGGTCATGGGCTCCTCTAATTTTTCAGGCTGACACTGAAGCAAAGGCTATGCAGGCCAAGTGCTGAACCCCAACCCCAATCAAGTTCCATCAACTCTGTAATTTTAAGCCAATCAAATATTGGCATTGATTTTCTATCAGTTTTTTTCTTCAGTGTTGTGAAATCCCACTTTTTTTTTTTTTTGAGAGGTTTTCACTATAGGGCGCTTGCGCTCACCAGACAGAGAGAGACAGAGAGACAGTAAGTGAGAAATCACCCCCCGGGGGGGATGACCATGCCACAATCCCTTCTCCTCCATTCCCCTCTCGGAATCTTGGGCACGCATGCACACGCACTCAGCGTGAGTCTAAAGCACCAGGTCCAGGACGTGAACCACGGTTGACTACGTGGGAGTCCAGCAACATAGCCATTACGCTAACTGCTGGTCCTGAAATCCCACCTTTTACTTGGTGTCTTTAAAAGTATATGTCTGATACATCATAATTAAATTGTAAAATATAAATTCTATTTCAATATGAATTGTTGGAGCTGGCAGGTGGCATGGTGGTTAAGGGTGTTGGACTCCCACATGGCCCACCACGATTCGAGTCCTGGACCTGGTGGCTTGCTTTCTCACATTCTCTCTCTCTCACACACTCTATCCCCCTCTGGTCAAATTAAAATAAATAAATAAATAAAGTTAATAAAATAATTCTTTTTAAAAAACAAAAAATATGAATTGTTATTTAGATTATATTTTATTTATTCTTTTAATTTATTTTGTATATTCAATCACTGCACTTCACTGCCACTTGTGGGCTAAATTTACCCAACCTGAGTACACTTCACACCAGTACAGTTCTATATCAATATTAATAAATTTGTATAAATTCTATAACTAAATCACTTTTACAGTAAAATTATTATTATCCATATATTATTGAATAAATTATGATTTTGAGTTACTATATGAAAAAGGGAATAAAAGGTGTATGTCTATATTACCTTATTACTTAGGGAGTGAAAACCTCACTTCCTTTCTATAGAGTGCCTAGAACATTCCTGGTGATTTTTATGAGGTCTAAAAACAAGATAAGCCATTTCAGAGGTTCCATATTGAAACCCAGTTTCCCATGGATTTCTGATCAGTGTTCCAGGTATTTCTATCATATGAAATGATTAATAGAGAATAGTATTTATATTTTCTTATGCTACTCAAAGTGTGTACTTAAGAAGTAGGTTGATTTTGTTTATATTAATATTTTGTCACAAAAAAGATATTTGGATTTAATGTAGTAGTGTTCAAATCTATTCGTAAACAATGTGACCATGATCTTAAATTATGCTCTTATGTTAGTAAGATATGTTTAGAAGTGTTAAGCAAACTAAAATCTTAAAAAATTGTTCTGTTTAGCCTGGATAATTGCAGCTTTTCATAAAATTCCAGTATGGTCATATATAATTAATGAATGTTTATGAATCCATATTTCTAATTATTCATTAAAATGTATTGTTAGATGCTATGAGTATGCTATGGCATGAATTTTCATGAATATGAAAGGAAAATCAACACACGTAATGTTACATTTTCAGAAACATTTCCCCCATATGATAATAAAGTTCAAAAGTGTAAATACTTTATAAAATCCTATGTCCTTACCGGTGATTGTAATTCAAAATTAATTGTATATATTTGCACATTAATTGTCTGACTGAGATACTAAAGTTATTTACAAAAGTAAACAATGAAAAAAACAAAAACAAACAAAAGAATGTAAGGTTCTTGGTTGAAAGCAATGTATACGGTAATATCCTTGATCTGATTATCACACACTGCATGCATGCTTTGAAAATTATGTTTACACCATAAAAATGTACAACTAAAAGTTGTAAAATAAGAAATTATAAATACAAATGAAAAAGAAACACAATGATTGAAATAAATGTAATAAACTAAGACATAGCTGGAGAAAGGTTTCCTGAAACAGAAAATGAATCCAAATAATGAGAAGAGATTACATTTGGATAAGGAGACTCTGCTAGAGTCTCACTCTTCCATCAGGGCTGCCTGGAATGCCCAGGGTGAGTCTGATGTTCAGGCCACCCAGAACCAATGATCCCACACACACACACACAGGTTTCTCCTGAGAACACCCAGTGCCCAAATAACAAACTCTGTCACCCAACCATGATCCTACCCAGATAAGAGCAGAGCAACATAAAGAACGGTATGTGTAAGTAAACAAATGCATGTGCTGCCTTAAAAATAGTCTCCAGCACACTAAAAAGTTCTCCAGTATATTTAAACACAAAATTCAAGACAAGAAATCTCAGGCACAAACTAGAGATGAATTTGTGACTGGGAAGCAGTGCTGCTCCAGAATCAACCACTACGCCTTAGCGGACCTGGACCAGACCCCACGTGTCCCATCACCCACCCCCACAATGCAGAAACTGAGAGGGATTTGTCTCAGAGCATTATTGTAGCAAGAGGTCCCCACACGTTGTGGGGGTTCTGCATTCCAGGAAGAGAACAGCCCTGGGAAACAAGAATGCATTATTGTATGTGATAAAATAGTACAATCATTTGATATGTAGCTGCTGGTAGAAAAGACTCAGAAACGAGACCAACCTGAGCAGAAGACTCCAGCATCCTCCTTGCGTCGGCAGTCATGCCGGCCCCAACCCCAGAATGGGCATTGCCACAGCACAGATTCGTTGCCCTGGCAGCCCATCTCATCCATCCAGATGCGCCCAGATCCAGCCCCAAAGTGGGCCGCCCCTGGGGCGCTGAGGGCATGGCCACAGCCCAGCTGCCTGCAGACTACGTGAGCATCCCGCAGGTCCCAGGCGTCGTCACACACGGTGCCCCACTCGCCCCTGTAGAGCACCTCCACACGCCCAGCACAGCGGCCTGGCCCCTCAGCCAGCCTCACCTGGAGACTTCCTGCAAAGAGACTTAAGTCAGGGCGCCCTGGCCACCAAGGAGCAGGGCCTCAGGGTGGATTGGGGTTCCACATTCACCTGAGCACATGACGCCTGTGTCTCGTGAGGTCCCCGCGGGCTCCATAAGGGACTTGGACACGTTGCACTCGGTCAGGCGGGTCTCAGTGCCCAGGCAGCGCACACGGCTCAGCCCTACCGGGACAACCCAGCGGCCAGGGGCAGGGGCGTCATAGGCTCTCTGGGCTTCTCCACAGCGGAGCTGTCGGCACACGACTCCCGCCCCACGCAGGTCCCAGGCATCGTCCAAGACGCGGCCCCACACACTGTCCAGGGAGACTTCCACGCGGCCATCACAGCGGCTGTGCCCGTCCCTCAGCCTCAGGGCATGAGAGAGACCTGGGGAGGGCGATTTGGAGGGGTCCAAGGCTTGGGGGGTGGGGTGGGGACCAGGCCTGAAAAGGGGAAAGGACTACCACCCCTGCAGAGTCCCCATTCACCCAACCCTCTCTATCTATCCTTTGCACAACTCTGTCCACTACTCTTGCTGACCCTCCTTCTCCTCAGTCCTGCCACCGCACCCACCTGAGCAGACTGTGGCGGCAAGTTCCATCAACTCTGTAATTTTAAGCCAATCAAATATTGGCATTGATTTTCTATCAGTTTTTTTCTTCAGTGTTGTGAAATCCCACTTTTTTTTTTTTTTGAGAGGTTTTCACTATAGGGCGCTTGCGCTCACCAGACAGAGAGAGACAGAGAGACAGTAAGTGAGAAATCACCCCCCGGGGGGGATGACCATGCCACAATCCCTTCTCCTCCATTCCCCTCTCGGAATCTTGGGCACGCATGCACACGCACTCAGCGTGAGTCTAAAGCACCAGGTCCAGGACGTGAACCACGGTTGACTACGTGGGAGTCCAGCAACATAGCCATTACGCTAACTGCTGGTCCTGAAATCCCACCTTTTACTTGGTGTCTTTAAAAGTATATGTCTGATACATCATAATTAAATTGTAAAATATAAATTCTATTTCAATATGAATTGTTGGAGCTGGCAGGTGGCATGGTGGTTAAGGGTGTTGGACTCCCACATGGCCCACCACGATTCGAGTCCTGGACCTGGTGGCTTGCTTTCTCACATTCTCTCTCTCTCACACACTCTATCCCCCTCTGGTCAAATTAAAATAAATAAATAAATAAAGTTAATAAAATAATTCTTTTTAAAAAACAAAAAATATGAATTGTTATTTAGATTATATTTTATTTATTCTTTTAATTTATTTTGTATATTCAATCACTGCACTTCACTGCCACTTGTGGGCTAAATTTACCCAACCTGAGTACACTTCACACCAGTACAGTTCTATATCAATATTAATAAATTTGTATAAATTCTATAACTAAATCACTTTTACAGTAAAATTATTATTATCCATATATTATTGAATAAATTATGATTTTGAGTTACTATATGAAAAAGGGAATAAAAGGTGTATGTCTATATTACCTTATTACTTAGGGAGTGAAAACCTCACTTCCTTTCTATAGAGTGCCTAGAACATTCCTGGTGATTTTTATGAGGTCTAAAAACAAGATAAGCCATTTCAGAGGTTCCATATTGAAACCCAGTTTCCCATGGATTTCTGATCAGTGTTCCAGGTATTTCTATCATATGAAATGATTAATAGAGAATAGTATTTATATTTTCTTATGCTACTCAAAGTGTGTACTTAAGAAGTAGGTTGATTTTGTTTATATTAATATTTTGTCACAAAAAAGATATTTGGATTTAATGTAGTAGTGTTCAAATCTATTCGTAAACAATGTGACCATGATCTTAAATTATGCTCTTATGTTAGTAAGATATGTTTAGAAGTGTTAAGCAAACTAAAATCTTAAAAAATTGTTCTGTTTAGCCTGGATAATTGCAGCTTTTCATAAAATTCCAGTATGGTCATATATAATTAATGAATGTTTATGAATCCATATTTCTAATTATTCATTAAAATGTATTGTTAGATGCTATGAGTATGCTATGGCATGAATTTTCATGAATATGAAAGGAAAATCAACACACGTAATGTTACATTTTCAGAAACATTTCCCCCATATGATAATAAAGTTCAAAAGTGTAAATACTTTATAAAATCCTATGTCCTTACCGGTGATTGTAATTCAAAATTAATTGTATATATTTGCACATTAATTGTCTGACTGAGATACTAAAGTTATTTACAAAAGTAAACAATGAAAAAAACAAAAACAAACAAAAGAATGTAAGGTTCTTGGTTGAAAGCAATGTATACGGTAATATCCTTGATCTGATTATCACACACTGCATGCATGCTTTGAAAATTATGTTTACACCATAAAAATGTACAACTAAAAGTTGTAAAATAAGAAATTATAAATACAAATGAAAAAGAAACACAATGATTGAAATAAATGTAATAAACTAAGACATAGCTGGAGAAAGGTTTCCTGAAACAGAAAATGAATCCAAATAATGAGAAGAGATTACATTTGGATAAGGAGACTCTGCTAGAGTCTCACTCTTCCATCAGGGCTGCCTGGAATGCCCAGGGTGAGTCTGATGTTCAGGCCACCCAGAACCAATGATCCCACACACACACACACAGAAAACTCCTGAGAACACCCAGTGCCCAAATAACAAACTCTGTCACCCAACCATGATCCTACCCAGATAAGAGCAGAGCAACATAAAGAACGGTATGTGTAAGTAAACAAATGCATGTGCTGCCTTAAAAATAGTCTCCAGCACACTAAAAAGTTCTCCAGTATATTTAAACACAAAATTCAAGACAAGAAATCTCAGGCACAAACTAGAGATGAATTTGTGACTGGGAAGCAGTGCTGCTCCAGAATCAACCACTACGCCTTAGCGGACCTGGACCAGACCCCACGTGTCCCATCACCCACCCCCACAATGCAGAAACTGAGAGGGATTTGTCTCAGAGCATTATTGTAGCAAGAGGTCCCCACACGTTGTGGGGGTTCTGCATTCCAGGAAGAGAACAGCCCTGGGAAACAAGAATGCATTATTGTATGTGATAAAATAGTACAATCATTTGATTTGGAGCTGGTGGCATAAGAGATACATGAGCAGAAGACTCCAGCATCCTCCTTGCGTCGGCAGTCATGCCGGCCCCAACCCCAGAATGGGCATTGCCACAGCACAGATTCGTTGCCCTGGCAGCCCATCTCATCCATCCAGATGCGCCCAGATCCAGCCCCAAAGTGGGCCGCCCCTGGGGCGCTGAGGGCATGGCCACAGCCCAGCTGCCTGCAGACTACGTGAGCATCCCGCAGGTCCCAGGCGTCGTCACACACGGTGCCCCACTCGCCCCTGTAGAGCACCTCCACACGCCCAGCACAGCGGCCTGGCCCCTCAGCCAGCCTCACCTGGAGACTTCCTGCAAAGAGACTTAAGTCAGGGCGCCCTGGCCACCAAGGAGCAGGGCCTCAGGGTGGATTGGGGTTCCACATTCACCTGAGCACATGACGCCTGTGTCTCGTGAGGTCCCCGCGGGCTCCATAAGGGACTTGGACACGTTGCACTCGGTCAGGCGGGTCTCAGTGCCCAGGCAGCGCACACGGCTCAGCCCTACCGGGACAACCCAGCGGCCAGGGGCAGGGGCGTCATAGGCTCTCTGGGCTTCTCCACAGCGGAGCTGTCGGCACACGACTCCCGCCCCACGCAGGTCCCAGGCATCGTCCAAGACGCGGCCCCACACACTGTCCAGGGAGACTTCCACGCGGCCATCACAGCGGCTGTGCCCGTCCCTCAGCCTCAGGGCATGAGAGAGACCTGGGGAGGGCGATTTGGAGGGGTCCAAGGCTTGGGGGGTGGGGTGGGGACCAGGCCTGAAAAGGGGAAAGGACTACCACCCCTGCAGAGTCCCCATTCACCCAACCCTCTCTATCTATCCTTTGCACAACTCTGTCCACTACTCTTGCTGACCCTCCTTCTCCTCAGTCCTGCCACCGCACCCACCTGAGCAGACTGTGGAGGCAGAGTTTCCTGGGGCGCAGGCTGGTGCTCCCAGTGTGCTCACTGGGCAGTTCCATAAGTAGGACTCCGTCCCCTCACAGTGAAACACATCCGGCCAGATAGGGGTGTCCCCTTCCCCAAAATGGCTTCCTTGGGGTATGGCCACCGGGTTGCCACAATTGAGTTGATGGCAGAGGACAGTGGCATCTGCCAAGTCCCATTGTGTGGCACAGAGGGGCGCCCAGGTTCCCTGAACTTGGAGTTCCACGCGGCCCTCACAGCTGCTGCTGCCGTTTACCAGCCGGAACTCTGCAGGGAGGAGTCAGCTTAGCTCCCAGACCCACAGACCTGGCACAAGGCCTTTACTTTCTTTCACACTCAGTGCAGTGAGCACAAAGCTGAGCCCATACTTCCACCAGCACTCCCACCCACCTCAGCATCAGCATCCAGTTAGTACAACTCTGCAGAGGAACCCACCCTCCACAGCACAGCCTTGGGAGGCACATCCCTCATGATCAGAAATCCTCCTTCCCTTCTTTCACCCAACTGAAGCAAACTCTTCCTCAATACCCACAACTTCTTGGCCAGAGGCACCTTTGAGCTCTGCTTAGAATCCCTCCTCTCCCTCTTTCCTACTCCACCCCATTTGTTATAAAGAGAGGTTACCCTGGAAGAAGGTCAAACTGAGCTTCCAGAAGCCACCCTCAAGACCTCACCTGAACATGTGAGGCCAGCATCTTGGCTGTGCCCGCACTGGTGCCCGAGCCCCCTTGGGCAGTGGAACAGCAGGGATTCATTGCCGATACAGTGGAACACGTCAGTCCACACAAGGCCAGAGCCCTGACCAAAGTGAACACCCCCAGATATGGACACAGCTGCACCACACTGCAGCTCCCGGCATACCACATGGGCCGTCGGCAGGTCCAGGTTGGTGCTGCAGACAGTGCCCCAGGTCAGGCCCTGTCTCACTTCCAGGCGCCCAGCACAAGGGTGAGGGCCATCTGACAGACGGGTCTCCATGTGTCCTGAGGAAGCAGACATCCTCTCAGGGAGAAGACAAGTGTTCTCAGATGAGCCATTTGGCTCTGAGCCACTGCCTTGGGCCACATAGGGCTCCAGCCAGGGGAGCACCTCTACATGCAGGGAGTGAGTCTGCCAAACACAGGCAGGAACTGGCAGCCAGAGACTCATCTCCTCTACGGAGGAGAGAAGGAAACCCTGGCTGATTTCTCATCTAGGTGTCATTGACACCTGCTGCCGGTGCCCACATGTATCACAGCCTCTGCCTGTCCAGGACAATGGTACCTATGCTCTCTGCAATCTCAGAGGTGACATCAAAGAGATTCTTGGTCCTCAGAGCACTCCGCCTTTCCAAGACTGCATTCTCATTTTAGCCCACCATCATTTTCAACACATGGCTGGGAGATGTGAGAGTCAACACAATTCACCCACTTGAGATGGGGTTAAGAAGGAATGACTTGGTCCCCAGCTCAGATGCATGTTAGACATCCAACAGCTGCAGCTAAATTGCTCAGACCTGTGCAAACAGCCTACGGGTTCTGAGTTGGTACTCCTCTTCTAGGGCCCCAGAAACCCATCTCTACTCTGCTGAGGCAATGCATATAGACCTGAGCACATATGCAGCCTGCTTGATTGGCACCTGTTGGTCAACCCATCCTGGAAGCTCTGAGCTCTTCAGGACTAGATTTCTGTCAAAACTAATTATGAGCTAGAGAATATTGGGTTTTCCCTTGTTTTCCTTTGCCTCCTCACACTGCTTTTTATTTCCTCTGAGAGAGCCAGTTGCACAAGTGTCTGTGAGGCAAACCAACCATGAAAGTCAAGGCTCTTT